GTGTACTTCAACCACTTCAACCACAAAAGAAGGAGCAGCACATCCCTGTAGTCTCCAGCTAAACCCAGACTTTACAAGAGATGGCTGGACAGCTAATCGATTTCAAATCCATCCATCCATCATCTATACACCGCTTAATCCTCACTATTTAAAACAATTCAGCTAATTTGCAAAAGCTAGTATTTATAATATGCGGGATGCAGTTACTAATGCTTCAATTGAATTACATTTAATTTGACCAGACTAAACTTTCAGGGGATGTTTAAGCTGCTCATTCATTACTACATACCACATGGTTCAGGCTGCATGCTGTGGTTCGACTGACATAAGTCTAATCTTTTTATTTGTTAGCCACACCTCGTACATTTTGCAGTGTTTCTGACCCAAGATTTAATCTCACGTAAATGGTTTTACAAATATATGCAGTCCTCCTTATAAAAAGAGAAAGAAAATCACAGTCATATAATTCCCCCAAATTGTTCATCTCCTAAACCACAGATGCAGTCATATGAGGACAAAAACATGATGCCCGGGTCCACATTCTTGAAATAGCTGGCAAATGGACCGCTTGTTGCGTGAGTGAACTGGCTGGAGAGAGCAGGCAAGATCTATAGGCAATGGTATTGACTTTTCTTCAGTCGAGACAAGTGAGCTGACACATAGTCACAGTTCTACAGGTAAAAACACGAGTTACACAGCAACCTCCTCAGGTTGAAGATCTGTTAACTCATCTGATGTAGGTTTACCTGCGTCTTAAAAGAGTGCGTATGTGAATTATCAATGAGGCTAGCCAGTTACAATCAGACACAGTTTTTGCAACTAGAGCCTGGAATGTTCACTAGTGACCAATATGATGGGCAACGAGTGAAATGTATTATATGTAGAAGGAGCTTAAAGAATCACCAAAGTTATTATAATACATCCTGAAGGAGAACGCGGGTCTCTGAGACACACTTCCTGCCAATAGATGTGAGATCAAGTAGAGTTTATGAGCTATGTAAAAATGTAGAAGTCAGAGGATCACTGAAGTCATGGAGATCCATCCTCTGGGGGCCATGAATGTTGAAGAATTTTATGAGGATCCATCTGTTAGTCCAACATATTTCAGCCTGGACTAAAGTGATGGACTAACGGATCAACGCTGTCATTCCCTGATACATACCACTAACATGGCTGACAATAAAGACGTTTATTGGAGCTGTTATGTTTTCACCCCAGCTGATCCAAATATGTCAGCAGCATTTCCCATCAAATCTAGCAGACAGATCTGCTTCAGATTAACACTCTCACCATCTCCGTCTATCCATCTTCTTGTCATGACTGTGAAAGCAACACAGATGAAGGCTCAACTCCGCTTTGTGAAAAAAAAAAAAAGGATGTTTGCAAATCAATTTAATTTAACGTGGAATTGAGTGTAACAGTAAGCAGGGAATTCTTTGTGCTCTGTCTAGTTTGATTATTCAGCAGAGAGCTACTTAAACAACTCTCACAAGTGGAATTTGATTTGCCTCTAAAAAAAAAATGTGTAGGTTAAATATTTTCTCTCCTTCTTTGCCAGAGCCAGAGAAAAGCTCCGTGCATTTTGTGATGAGTTTTGAGGAACAAGCCGACCAACTTCACAGTGAATTAAATTAAACTTCACAATGTCTGAAAGGCTACTATGCATCATAGAGTGGATAAAAGCAGCCAAACAGAGGACGCATTAACTACAGAACAATGTTTTTTGCCTCCTATTACCCTGAAAAAAGGTGAAGAAACACGTTATTTTCCAGAATCCTGGTTTCACACACATGAAAGCATCAAAACACAACTGTCGACACTTTAACGAGATCAAAAGTTGCTGAGTGTTTCCTTCTACTTCCACACCTGACCGGACTTTTTCCATGCCACTAATTTTTCATCAGTTTTGTAATCTTAAAGTGTCAGTCTGGTGCCCCGAAGTTAAAGCAGAAAAATCTCCCCATCCCACTAACCAATTCTACCTACTGCTTATGAGATTAACAACCTCACAATTAGGATAATACACGACAGGAAAAGCACTTAGTGCTGCACAAATGTCTGTTAGACTTAATGTTTTGGGAAAAGGTTCATTCACTTTCGGTAATGTGAAAGTGGGTGGAAGCCTAAATCCTCCAAAGTGGGGAAGAGCTGTGAGCACAGCTTTATTGATTAACTATTCAGTAACTGCAGTCAGACCCAAATGTATTTGGACAGTAACACTCTTTTCATGCTTCTACTTTGCATCCTCGCTTTCTTAGCCGCTCAATCTGAACACTATTCAGCTCAGAAGAAAAACTGATCTTTAAATCCTCCTCACTTTTTGTGTAATAAATAAATAAACACAAAGAGACTACAGTTTTTTGAGGGGTGAATCACTACTTGCACCAAGCTGTACTAATGTTTAGTTTTCCTTTTTTACTGCACTCATGTGAGAGTGGCATCAACCTTCCCATCCATTTTTTTAACCAAAAAAAGGCAAACAAGCATATTTTTGGAGTTAACAGCCATCAGTAAAGCAACCAGTTTTATACGTTGTCGATGCTGTTTAATGCCTGATAACTTCTCAGAGTCAAAATCTCATAAATGTGTTTCATCTTCTAACACTTTACGATTCTCTGCTGCGTTTCGAGGCATCTCCAAGAAGAGTGAGCTGTAGCTACGTTTGGCTCCGACCACAGGCATTCCCTATAAAAAAAAAAAAACGAGGCAATCCATTACATGATCTATTGGGGAAATATTAGCAGTGATACATTAAAGGAGCCACCACTCAACGTTAGGAGAGACCATTTTGATAATGGCAGCCGGCCTCACAGAGTCACATGTCTCCAGCGTTCATCTAAGTGCTCTCAGTTTTCTTAATGTAATAACACTTTTCTTCCAAAGGGGTTCAGCGGTGACATGAGGAGGGAGATTGGGGGGGGAGGGTGTGTTGGGGCTGTGGGAGAGTGTGGGTGTAGCCGGGGGGGAGGCACGCCCGTGACAGAGAGTAAGGGAAGAGAGTAGGTGTTAAACGAATGGCTGAGATGATTGCGAGTGCTGGTGGAGGAATTGCATTCTGAGCAGGTCGTATTTCAGCTCAGTGGAAAGTCGCAGCGACACACACACACACACACACGCAGAGTTACACACCTGCCTATTTCACCTCTACTGCTTCACACACACCTCCAGCATCATTAGACGACTGTGGGGGACACACTCAGAGAGCAGGGGGGAGGCACAAGAAAGTAACAAGATTGAATTTTCTGTCTGAGTTTGAGATGTCAAAAAAAAAAGTTCTTTTAAACCTTTTTTTTCTAAGATGTTCCATCGTTTTAAAAATTCTAACTCTGAGGGGTTGACACTTTACTCCCACATATCTTTTAACTGATGCAAGAAGATTTTCGGGCGGTTGGGTCAATTCTTGACTTACAGTCGCTAGCATCAATCGAATCTCTGCAGAAACCACCATGCAGCCGAGAAGCCTGAATGAAGGAAGGAGGTTTTAACCAAACGATTGCATTCTGCTCATTTAACTGAACACTTTCTGCATCGTTGGGCAGCATTACCTTGAGCAAAAAAGCAAAATTAAAAGCCTAAGTGGCATAATTATCCCTGAGTGAGATACTTGCCGAGTCTAGTTTCCAAAACTTTTTAGCTTCAGACTATTTAAGGCGGGGCTGCAAGGTGGTGCAGTTGGTAGCACTGTTGTCTCGCAGCAAGAAGGTTGCCGGTTCGCGTCTCGGTGGGGGCACCGGAATCTTTCTGGGTGGAGTTTGCATGTTCTCCCCGTGCAGCGTGGGTTCTCTCCGGGTTCTCCGGCTTCCTCCCGCACAGTCCAAAAACATGTTGAGGTTAATTGGTGATTCTAAATTGTCCGTAGGTGTGAATGTGAGTGTGCTTGGTTGTCTGTCTCTAAGTGTGGCCCTGTGATGGACTGGTGACCTGTCCAGGGTGTCCCCTGCCTTCGCCCTAAGTCGGCTGGGATAGGCTCCAGCCCCCCCGCGACCCTAATGAGGATTAAGCGGTGTATAGAAAATGGATGGATGGATGGATGGACTATTTAAGGCAAAGAAACGTGTATGTGTGACCCTCTTGTGACGGGTTGCACTATCTGAAGTGATGTTGTGTTTTTCAGATAATTAAATTTGAGTATTTTGTACTAAAAAAAAGAGCAAAGACTAGTGTGACCATCACGATTCAATGTGAACGTGCAACCAAAAAGCAAACATTTTTAGTCGTCTTGTGACCCCAAATTCAGAAGATCAAGTAGGAACACTGTTTTGATTTTGCTGGAATGATTTCTCCACAAGTTACAAAACACGAATGCATAATTCTCAATCTATTCTCTGACCAAACATCCTCAACTCATAACTTTCATTTCTTACAGATTTGAATTCAGGTGAACTTCTCAGTTATGCAGGGGCACCATTAAACACCAAAGCTTTTCTAGCAAAGAACCCATTTTCGTTGTTGCTACAGTAAAAGCCACTGAAACAATGATTCAATTCCACTGGTGCCTCAATCTGCAAACAACAGTCTGCCTGAACCTGACTTCCATCTTACAACAACATCCCCACGGCTGCTCAGCAGACCTGCACTAAGTTTTTTTTTTTTTTTTTTTTCCAGCTGGAGTTCAGCAAAGTGTTGCTGCATGGACAGCTCCTGCTGCCCGGAGGTGCCATTTGTTATCCCTCCTTTAACCCCCCCTGTAGCCTCCAGCATCAATCCACTGCCTCAGCCAATAAACCTGCTCCGAGTTCAGGTCGGCAGAGAATCGATATCTGGGGTCGAGAGAACAGAGAGGAGAAACGCTGTGCCAGAGAATCCAGCCATCCCGTTTGCAGAGATGCATTCACGAGCTTTAAGCGAATCCTCGGTGTCAACAAAGAGCCCGAGGAGAGCACAAAACAAACAAAAAAAAAACGCATGCAAGTGCCAGGTGTCGCTAATACAGATGCGCGCGGCGGCTTTACGCAGGTGGTCGGCGGTGCCAAGCGGCCTGAGAGAGCAGCGTTTCTTACCCGGAGTTTTCTTTTGGTGCAATAGGGAGGAAGGAGGAGGAGGAGGAGGAGGAGGGGAGTAGACCAACTCCACCGCTCTCCCTTCTTCAGGCGCCTCTCTCCATCCAATGACACCGGTGCCGGTTTATCTGTCCCGGAGGGGGAGGAGGAGGAGGAGTGAGACGGCGTTCACGCTCCTTCTGTTTCAGCGCATCCGGACGCATCCAGACATTCAGTGGAGCGGAGGGATAATGAAGAGGAGGAGGATGAGGATGAGGATGAGGAGGGCTTTATCTTCAACTCAGAGGTGTCCGTGTGTTCCTGCTGGAGTCTGGAAAGCTGCAACCACAAGAAGCATCTCTCTGCTGCAGAAGTCCCACCCCTGCAGCGCAACTTGTACCGCCGGGCCGCTCAATAACACGACCACCGCCTCCTCCTCCGAACAGCAGCAGCAGCAGCAGCAGAGAGGACCAGGCTGCTGCTGCACACACACGCACACACACACACACACACACACACACACACACACTTGGTGTTACGCAACCAGTGCACAGGGGGGAGACCAGGATGGGAGGATGGAAGGTGTGTGTGAGTGTATTTCCGAACTTTTCCAGTCTTTCTCAGCATCCCTGACGCCCACAAAAGCCTCCTGATCATCAAACTGATCAAATTCTGTCCCTAAAAAAAAAAAAACAACAACAACAAACCTCCTCCTCCTCTCTAGTTCCTCAGAGGCTCGAGCTGTTAGGGATGATTCAGTGTGAAATTGTGTAACTGTCTGTGCTGGAGGTGGGCAGGGTGCACTGATGACACCTCTGATAGCACAACAAACAGCCTGATTCCTCCCCTCATCTAAGGCTTTCCCCCCAGATAACTCAATTAAAGGGATATGAAACTGCTCCTCAGTCTCCTGCCAGCAGCGCAAAGTCACCACAACATGTGCTGAAATGAGGAAAATGCTGAGGTGCCACTTTATAAAAAGGAACAGCTCATAAGGTTTATAAACTGAAGTCAAGTTAATAGAATATTTTGTAGCTGATTAGTATCACCAGAGCAGATTAGGTCATAGATTTACTGGTTATTTAACAACTCGTAATTCCAATCATTCTCATAAATTAATCTCAACTGCCCTTTAAAGGATCTTAAACATTAACCATCATCCTGTCGACTGGTGCACCTGCAGACCCTAAAAGTGTATTTTTTTTGTCACATCTTACAGGGGTTTCATTCGATCATTCCAGTTTTCAACGACTGTGTCAATCATTGTGTTCCTTATGACTTCAAATCATTGTTTTGGAACCCCATTACACCAATGTATTGGGATTCCAGGGGACTCCAGCCAAAAGCAACCCAAATCTGTCTCTGCAATTTTGGATTATGGAACTATTTACTGAGCTCATGTTTGCCATGGGTCCTAAAGTATCACACAATATATATGTGTATGTGTGTGTTTCCCGGTGCACAACCTTAGACAGTGCTCTTCCTAAAATAAGATGATGCTCAAAGTTAAGAATATGACACATAATTTTATCTTTCAGGCTGCAGAGGGAGCGGTATGGAAGAAGAAAGATTTAGGAAGGTTTCTCTGTGATTCAAGATGTTTGGCTGTAATAAATCTAAAATCTATTTCAATGATATATTGAACATTGGTTTTGGTCTTTTAAAATGGCAAACAGATCAAGACTGGGCAGATTTGGTGATCTCTTGGGATAAAAGCTGCAATTTGTGTTACACAAAAGGACCTATTTGGTTAAGATAACATGCAAATGACTACATTTTCTAAAAAAAAAAGTATTTAACAAAATATATAATTACATATCTAATAAATGTTTTGAGAAGAAATCAGTTAATGTGTTGCTACGATGTTTCTCTCATAACACTTTATTCTTGGGGTCTCTGTAGACAACAGTCGGTGGTTCTTAATCTGTAGGTCGGTTGAGGGTTAATTAAACCGTGATATTTTCTAAAGAAAATTTGGAAATCCTTTTAATTACATATTTCACGAAAGTCTTTCAACATTTCAGAGGGACAGTTTGCCCTTTTTATTTCTCCAATAACTTTTTAAACCACTTGGTACAACACATTTTTGCATATAAATACATGATTAGTTGATGAAATAGAAAGCAGCATCAAGGTTAGTGTCACCCAGCTGACAGATAAGCAGTGGTACAGGAAACACTCTCCATCCTCAGCCTTCTGTGTCTGTTCCATCCGTTATTTCTGATGAACATTTACTGTCTCATCCAGTCCTAAAAACCCAGACCAAAAATCTGCTGGGTCATAAATATGCATAGTTCAATGATAATACTTGGTTTAATGTCCTTTGACCTTTTCTACCTCAACTACACCCTTTTCTGTGAGCCATCCACAAGCTTCTGGCCTCCCGTTGTATCTTTGATGACTCCTCTTTACGGGATTGGTGCAGTTCAACTAAGTTTGTTGTTTTTTCATCACAGTCCACAGTTCTTCACCATTTCCACTGGCAGTAAAACAACCCCCCAGCATGATACTGCCACCACCATGCTTGATGGTAGGTTTGGTACTCTTGGGCTTGTTTCATTTGACCACAGAACTTTCCTCCAAAATGTCTTTTCCTTTCTTTTTTTTGTCTTTTTTAATTTTTTTATTTTTAACAATTAGAAGAAGACAAACACATACAATCAATGAAATACTTAAACCCCTCAACCCCACCCGTACCCCTCCCCTGGCACAAAATAGAGCATTAAAAAAACAACAAACAAAAGAGATAAATAAATAAAGTAAACAATAAAGTGTAAAATATTGCAGGGTTTTTCAGCCCAGAGTCTCAGTCCAGATTAAGATGGCAATCTGTGCTTGGAACATATGACCAAAATGGCTTCCAAGTTTTTTCAAAGGTCCTCTCACATCCAGACAGGGTTAGCCTGATTCTTTCTAGTTTAAGAAAATGAAGCATCTCTTTTATCCAGTTCATAAGAGTAGGTGGGGCTGAGGATTTCCATCTCAGCAGAATCAGCCTCTTGGCCAGTAGAGTCAAGAATGCTACCCGGTCCTTTTTATTTGAGGAGAGACCAAGTTCAGGGGGCAACACACCAAGCAGAGCAGTTAAAGCATTCAGAGCAATATTTTTCCCTGTAACTTTGGATAATACAGCAAAAATACCAGATCAATATTTGTTCAAAGAGGGACAGTGCCAAAAGGAATGTATATAGTCACAGAGAGAGGAGACTGTATTAAATATTTTGGCCAGTCTGACTTTAGTGTAGTGGGCTCAATGTAAGATCCTGCACTGAGTGGAGCTGTGTTTGGCACAAATTGAAGATATGTGTACCCTCTGCAGGACTCCCTCCCAGACACCATCTGGAATTTCCTGTCCCAGGTCAGTCTGCGAAACAGTCTTGAGGATATACCAAGAAGAGTTTGAGCTGATTTTGTGAATACTGGAATATATGACAGATATTGCACCCTTCAACGAGGGATGAGGCTCCAGAAAAATATCTAAGTCTGAGGAGGGAGGTAGGGCAGGAAAATGTGGACACAAAGAGCAAACAAAGTTCCGAATTTGAAGGTACTGAAAAAATGGCCTTGCGGTAGTGAAAACTTTTCAACTAACTGTTGGAATGATGCAAATATTGAGTCTATATATAGATCTTTAAAAGTTTTTCGGCCCAGCCTCACCCACCTAGAGACTGTAGTGTCTAATAAGGACGGAGGAAAGGCATGATTCGCTGAGATTGGAGCCCAGACAGAAAAGGTTTGTAGTCCCAAGAAACGTCGGAATTGGGTCCAAATTTTGAGGCAGGCGGCAACAACAACATTTTTTGAATAAACGGAAGTATAAGATAAAAGAGGCGAATACAGTAGGGATTTCAATGTCACCGGAAAAGAGGAATTAGCTACGACAACCTGCTGGTTAGACAACAACGTACAGATTTTGGCCAGGAGGACAGATGGTTTGAAAGAGGGGTGAAAGAAGCCATCTATGTCAAACTGGAAAGACCATCCCTCAACAGAGGTGGAGGTCTGAGGCATCACCTCTCACTTGTTGACAGTTCAGTCCTAAGATCTCTCCCCAGGAAGATGAAACCACATTCACACCTAGCCGCAAAAGACCCTAACGAACCCCTTTGTGGCAGTGGAAGCACTAACGACTCACATAATGAGGGGGAGGAGTAACAACATCCAATTGAAACCGAAACTCAGGTGTGAATGGCTCCTTAGGATATAAGTATCTGGAACTCCCAACTAGTCAGTCAGAACTGATGAAGCCTCTTGGATGAGAGGTGGAACGTCTTTAACAAACTCAAGCAAGTCCAGTTGCTACAATTAATCTACCAGAATAGCTATGTGTGGCAGTTACCATGAGTCTGTGTATAGTAAAGGCAGAGAGTCTGAGCTGTCTTAAAAAAATATATGGAATTTCTTTTTATTTCCGGCAATTTGATGAACAAAAATGTCTATTATACTTACGTTAACGAAACCCAAATGAACAAAGTTGCTTTAGCCCTGGCTACATATCTTTGAGGGTCACAAAAATTAATCTACGCAACACAAAACCGTGCTAAAACACACTTAGAAGATTGTCTTTCTAAATGTGTCCTTTTGACACCTGAGCAAGTTCATGTCTTTGCCAATATTTAGACAACACTTCTTAATTTTCTTGAATTAAGAAAGCACCCCACCGTGGGCCACCCAGTTCAGCCTGCTTCGACCTCATCCAACATGATTATTGATTAAGCAGTGGCTCATAATAATGCGGGTAATAAACCTACTGGAGCATTACTCTGGATCCAAATTGATGGATGTTTTGATTATACTGCCCACAGGATTAGGATATTCTGAGCTTCTGTTAGATGCAAAGACCAGCAGACGAAAGGCAAAACACTGAACAGTAAACAACATATATCATTGTACGTCTGCCGTGCATTCAACATTTTTCCACATTATTTTGTGACACTCAGCTGCGTGGGGATGAAGAAACAAAAGCAGACATTAACAGGATTTAGCCTGTCCCACTATTTCAAACTGAAAATATTGTAATCTGCCTGAAGCACAACATGAAACATGCAAATGACTTTTTTTGTTGTTGTTATATTGGTATAACAATGTCCTTAATTGATTTTCTCTTTTAACTAAAGAGCAAGGCAGCTGAGTAAGACATATTATGGTACATAAGAGTATAATCTCAGCCTAGACAGGATAATCTCATCTTTTTACTTCAAGCTAAATGACTCAGTTCCATTGATAGCACATCTCCAAAATGTGATGTAAATAGTGTCATGTCTGTCTTCCAAAACTCATAAAACATCGCTTCACAGCTTTAACCAACTCTGTTAAACGCTGAATTGGACATGGAAAGCATAAAAGTCAAAGTAAACACTATTATAGTGAGCAAAGAAGCTTACCAGCAGGAGAGTGGTGCAATCTGGTTGTTCTCTGCCTTTTGAATGTCTCCATCTGGTGGTGGATGCTGGCAGAGACGCACATCATGCTCAAATAAAAGCAATGTACAAATGCCTTCTTCTGTATTAAAAAAAAAAAAAAAAAAATCTCACAATTAATAGGAAATCTGAATTAACATTTACATTTAAAATCTATCATTGTGAAAGGAGCTGTTGGAGCATGTAGATGGAAGCAACAGTGAAGATTTAATAGACATATACAGTTGAAACCAGAGGTTTACATACACCATATAAAAGACATATCACCTTTTCTTTTCCCCTCACTTTCTGACAGTAAGTCAGACTAAACTTTTCCTGTTTTAGGGCAGTTCGGATTATTAAAATTATTTCTATTTGTTAAACACAAGAATAATAAGAGAGAGATTTTTTTATTACTTTCTTCAGAGTCAGAAGTTTCCGTACGTTTCCTTAGCATTTGGTAAAATTACCTTTAAATTGTATGACTTGGGTCAAACATTTTGGGTTTCCTTCTACAAGCTTCTCACAATAGTTTGCTGGTATTCTGGCCCATTCCTCCTGACAGAACTGGTGTAACGGAGTCAGGTTTGTAAGCCTCCTCCTTGCTCCACACACCTTTTCAGCTCTGCCCACAAATTTTCTACTGGGTTGAGATCAGGGCTTTGTGATGGCCACTCCAAAACCTTGACTTTGTTGTCCTTAAGCCTCTTTGTAACTAAACTGGTGGTATGCTTTGGGTCACTGTCCATTTGGAAGACCTATTTGAGCCCAAACTTTACCTTCCTGGCTGATGTCTTGAGATGCTGCTTCAATATTTCCACACAATGTTCTTTCCTCATGATGCCATCTATTTTGTGAAGTGCACCAGTCCCTCCTGCAGCAAAACACCCCTACAACATGATGCTGCCACCTCCGTACTTCATAGTTGGGAAGATGTTCTCAGGCAAGCAAGCTTCCCCCTTTTCTCTCCAAATGTAACGATGGTCATTATGGCCAAACAGTTCAATTTTAGTTTCATCAGACCATAGAACATGTCTCTGAGTATCCTTTCAGCTCATGTCGGTACAGGACTCATTTCACTGTGGATAATGACACTCTCTTGCCAGCTTCAGCAGCATCTTCACAAGGTCTTTTGCTTTTGTTCTGGGGTTGATACGCACATTTCAAACCAAAACACTTCATCTCTGGGACCCAGAACCCGTCTCCTTCCTGAGCGGTATGATGGCTGGACATTCCCATGGTTTTTATACTTGCATATAATTGTTTGAACACATGAACGTGGAACCTTCAGGCATCTGGAAATTGTATCCAAAGAAGAATCAGACTTGTGGAGGTCCACAGTTCTTTTCCTGATATCTTGGCTGATTTCTTTAGATTTTCTCACGTTGTCACAAAAGAAAGTAGTGTGTCTGAGGTGTGCCTCCAATTAACTCAAATGTTGTCAATTAACCTATCAAAAGCTTCCAAAGCCATGACATCATCATCTGGGCTTTCCCAAATAATTTGAAGGCATAGTAATGTTAGTGTATGTAAACTTCTCACTTTGAAGAAAGTAGTTAAAAATTCTCTAAATAATTCTCTCATTATTCTGGTGTTTAGCAAATAGAATTAATTTTGTCAATCCTAACTGACCTAAAACAGGAAAAGTTTTGTCTGATTTAATGTCAGACAGTGAGAAGGTTACATGTCTTTTTATACAGTGTATGTAAACTTCTGGTTTCCACTGTATAATGTGCACGTTCTTAACAATAACTGAGAAACAAAAGCCTAATTCAGAATGCAGGTTTCTTTGGAGCCTAAAATCCCACAGACATTTGGCTGATGCTCCAAACTCCTGAAAATATTAATATGTTTCCAGTTTTAGTATGGCCACTGTAAATAATTTAAAGGCTCATTATCAGCTAAAGGCTCGAGGACGATTCTTATTTTGAAATCAGTGATGCAGTCGATCAGCTCAGGAGCAGAAGGACTGGAAAGTTTAACTGCACAAACTATGCTCATTTCTAAAAGTGTAACTAATTTATGTAATAAAATCCTTGAACCAGACTGAAATTAGGGATCCACCTCTATGTTTTTTTTCTTTTCTTTCTAGGGCAAGGATTGATAGCGATTATCAGTAATAAAAAAGGCTGGTAACTGAAATTTGGAATGGATACACATTTGTGAAAATGAAAAATCTTTGTGTGAAAATTCAGAAAAGCACAAAATCCAACATAAAAAATGAATTTACTTGCCTTTACTTTATGTTTCAATTACTTTTAAACATTTATCCTTCAGTGTTGTCAGGCTGTTACTTGTGGCGTGTAACCAATCAGATTGTGCTGTGGGCGGGACATTGAGAGTGAAGCCTCTTAACGACAAAGAAAGGCAGCTACATCAGTAGCACATTTTAAAATGATTTTATCATAAATCAGTTGGGGAAAAAAAAGACAGATTGGAAAAATCCTGAATATTAGATGACATAATCAAACAGGCCAACAATCAGTGGACCCTTCGTCTAAATCTTCGTCTGTTCCAGTACAGTATCTTCCTAAAACGTTTCACTTTGTCAACACTGACTGAGCTCCTCTCTGTATTAATCTGTCCAGCTGCCACTTGTTCCCTACTGGATCGCCAATAGCAGCAATAAGACAAAAGCACCAAATGTATATATAAAAACATATATTTATTGTTCTGTTACTGTTGGTTAACTTGATCAACAATAAATGGCGGCAGGCCAGGAGACATACTGTACACATATTTAGAAAGCCTTAGAGAGCTTCTGTTTCCAGGTTCAGTGGCAATTAATGATGCAGAGAGAGAGAGAGAGAGAGAAACAGATCAGAAACAGAAAAAGAAAACATCTGCTGTTGTCCGTACACTTTTTGAATGCTGCGTTTCAACGGTGCTTTCAAAAGTCATCCTTCAGCCAAAGTGGTTCTTCTCCTAAGCAGGTAAATTTACAAGAGGGGTTAAAAATACTGTACATTGTTCTGTGTGTTAATGCAACTGAATAATAAGATCTTTTTTGTTTTTTTCTTTTCCATTTATCCTTGTGTAGGACAGTGATAACTACTCACCTTTTTCTTCCCCCAAAACATGCGAGGTTAAAGAAAGTCAAGTAAAGCTTGAATGGATAAATGATATTTAGCCTCTAAAGACAGAAACAGAGGTGCTCCGTACTCGACAAAATATTGTGTGGATTAAAATAGATAAAGCTTATATATATTTATACTATATATATATACTATATAAAGGCTTAAATCTCTGGATACAAGGACAGCCACCAGTGCTGTCCCACACACATTCCTCAGTACACAAACCCTTTAATGCAGTGACAAACTCACACCTGCTTTGTCTCATTTTCACTCCGTGGACCATGACGTTTTCTGTTGTACATCTGCAGTTAAACAGACACAGGACCCTGATCCCAAAAGTACATTTTCTAACAAGTTTGAACTGCTGGATATGAAAAGAAAAGCTTAACCAGAGCAAATGAATACAAAGCATTTTTGGAAACAGACGGTAAGGGTGTCATAAATTCAAGATGTTCCGTATTTTACGGGGAAGCTGTACACGCGTTGCTTCAACTGACTGGAAGATCAATTACACAGAGTTCGTTTAATCAAAGCAGGATAAATTTGCTGAGTGACAGGAGGGAGCATTGATGCAGGAGGGAGCCATCGTGTTGGCTGGAGACAACAAGAGGACGGAGGAATGAAAGCATGTGAGTGGTTGAGCAGTTAGTTTGTCTTCAAGGCTGTCTTGTAGGCAAAGAGTTTTTTTTTTATGTAACACAGAGTGGTTCGATTGGAGGATAAGTCTGTTTCCGAAGCAGATGAGACCAGGTCCAAATGTCTGTTTCAGTCCAGGCAAACTTTTACATTCCACACGCTGCAAAAACAAATCAGCTCCTCAAATTCACAGGAACTTCCCTCGGTCTCCTCCACTCCTCGGCCTCATCGTGTCCTCCGGCCTCCATCGAGGAGCGCCAGCATTCAAACCGAATGTGCAAATGTCGTCCGTAACGCAGAACCGTACAAAAACAACACAATAGACAAAGAATAACTTTTTGCAGTCCCTGAAACATCCCATCCACTGTCACAAGTCGCAGGATTAAAATGAAATGAATTCGTTTATGTGCCACAAAACTAATGGAAGAGAGGATTAGTGAAAGACTGTGTAACGCTAGAAAAAGGTTCATATGCCGTCAGCACCGAAGGAAACGGCAAAACAAAAGATATTAATTGCACGTACTCCGACAAGAGACCAAACCAACAGCCAGGGAGGTCGTGTCCCGTTTTATCTTCAAAGCGTCAGAAACTGTGAAGCCATAATTAGCTCAGTGTTCGTCGCCTGCTGTACCTCTGTAGTGTGATACAACAGCGTGTGCAGGTGTCATCTTTGTCAAAAACTCCAGACTGGCTTCTGAATTTATAAACCATAAAGAGTGATGTGAACTTTTGCGTCGGTGTAGAAAATAAACCACCTCACCCACATTAGATTCGATTTTGAAGAGGACAAATCTATCAAGTCGATCATTTTTTTTTTAACCATTGGCTTTTCCCCATTCCCTTCATTTTAAATGCTCTCCCTTAATTTTTCTTTTTAGTCTTTACAGATCAAAAGAATAAATTGTTGCTTAAAATACAACACGATGTAATAAATTAAATAATTCGGATGAAATTCTCTAATTTCTGATGCTATCTTAAGTTTCTTTTCCACAATTCTAACTGTGGCATGTCTTTAGATGTCTGATGAAACTTTTGTATAGAATATTAATGTGTATCGCTATAAAAACTCTGATTTATTCCACTTCTCTGTCTCTTTATCTCTGTCTTATATAAATCCTGGAGACAACCGCCATGCAGATTGCATCTAATACAGAGCCTGGCTGAAAAACATCTTAAAATGTTCCCTCACACGGTTAGTAAATTCTTCAGTTTCGTACTGGTGGAGTGAAGGTATGGACTTCACTGATGAGAGCCAAAATGACTCAAGAATCAACTTTCTCTAATATTTCAGTTCGATTTGGACTTGATTTGAGAATAATTAAATGACGCCTCTCACTCTGTGGATTGATTCGTTGATGAAAAAAAACACAGACGCTTCACAACCAGCTGTTTAGACTGAGGTGAGCACTGTGGCTGCTGCAACAACAAGCTGACTATTAGCTTACATCACACTTTAGCGTCAGCACGGGGACCACACAGGGGAAGTTGGATCTGTTGCCATAGTAACAGTGGGGCAGAGGAACTCAGAGCGGCTGTGACTGAGTCAAGTGGAAGGTGTGTGCTAGATGTGTTTGGGTTTGGTTCTGTGCCGGGTGCACAGGTTGGTTCTGGTTCTGGTTCTGAGGCGGAGGATGCGGCTGCTGCGGCTGCTGCAGGATGTGTACCACCCGGCTCAGGGTGTCTGTGGTGGCAAACGCCAGATACTGGCAGCACAGCCAGTCCTCCAGACTCACACCGCAAGCGGTGTCCATCGACCGCTCGGCGAATTTGATCATCATCAGTGTCCGCTTCAGGTCCAGCCAGTTCTGGAGGGTGGCCTCGCGCTGGCTTGCAGTGGCCCCTGTCATGGGGCCCGTGCTGCTGCAGCCCAGCGCCTGAAACAAGTCCTCCCGGGGGCCCCAGAGGAGGCACTGTAGGCAGGCCCGGGCCTCGGACATACGGATTCTCTCAGAGGGGTTGACAGTGAGCAGCAGCCTGGCCAGCTGCTGCAGGCCCTGTGAATAGAGGGATCTGACCGGCAGCGGCGGCAGGTCTGCCCAGGTGTACTCGCGCTCCTTCAGCTCTGGCGTCTCCTCGAAGGGGTTGGGTCGGTGCAGCATCTCATAGATGAGAATCCCAGTCTGGAACTCGTCACACTTGCGGTACTGAGTAGCTGTGACGATTTCAGGGGCCAGCCTTGATTGGTCGCGCAGCGTACCGGGGTCAGTGGCCATGAGAGTGCTCTTCTGTTTCGCTTGGGAGAAGTTACTGATGATGAGGCGGGCGGGGCAGGTGGCGTTGGCGGCGGCAGCACTGGCAGCGGTCGCACCAGAGCTGCTGCTGCCGCTGTTGCTGTTGTTGTTGGGCTCAAGTAAGTCCAGATTCCAGGAGTTGCCAGGTTGGCACTGGACCAGCAGCAGGTTTTCCAGCCGCAGGTCACAGTGGGTCACATGATAAGGTTTCATGTGCTCCAGGCCGGAGCACAGCTGCAGCAGCAGAAGACAGACCTGACGCTCGTAAAGCTCTGGGTTATGAGCGTGTCTGGTCATGCCTTCTCGGACAAAGTCGGCCACCGTCTGGAAGGGCACCTCACGTGTGATGACCACCACTCGGCTCCTGAGGCGGCCAGCAGTGTTCATGTGACCTGCTGCTGGGGTTTCATCTACTTTACCATTTGGGGCAGATGCTTTGGAGTCTGTCACTTTTGTGTCAGTCTTAATCTCTTTCTCTTTCTTCGTCAGCTCTTCTTCCTCCTTATTCTCCTCCTCTTCCTCCTCCTCCTCCTCGTCCTCATCTTCCTCCTCTTCCCAGGGCAGGAGGCGGGCAGGGACGTCGGCCAGGAAGTGTCCACAGTCCTGCTGGATGTTGAAGTGAACTGCCAGGCTTTGTCTCACTGCAAGACTGTGGAAAAACTGCTGCTGGGTCTCCTTCACTTGGCTCCGACAGATCTAAAAGACAAGAATGAGATCATTAACATCAAAGCCGCATCTGAGTTTGAGGTGATAAAATGTGTCATGATGAGAAAATTTGCTGAATTTTGCTGATTTGCTCTTGGCATTGTATTCTTATTTCCTACCATAAACCTGGGCACTGTGCTTTATCTTGAGTCAGTGCCACACACCGTCCTGCTGTCAGAAATACTTATTGGAGCATCAGATGTGTATTGATCCGTGGCTAAAAATAGCCCCAAGAAAGGCACTTGTTATTCTTCTCTGTGCAACATTTGGTAAAAAAAATACAGTGCTCACTTGCTTGAAGCATGAAACCTTATATTTCCCTGGCTAGGGTAGTCCAGAGAGTACTGAGAGTAGAACAAACACATTGTTGGTTTTGGTGTTTTTATGGGTTTTGCTGATAATCCAAAACATATAGAATGCCTTCCCTTCAATATGGGTAAAATGCCATTTAAATTACGGAATTCCATCTTTATTTACGTCTTTCTCTGCTGAGCACTTGTCAGAGCTTCTGTAATGCGAAATTGTTAAAGAGAGTGAAATAAAATAAAGTACACAAGCAACAGAAATTGCCTCTTTTCCGCCATGGGAGACTTTAAAACAAACAGCAACTTTCTGCAGCATCAGGAATAAAACACCCAGCTTTAGCAGATAATGCACTGGAGAACACAGAGATCAAAAACATTTTCTGCTTCTTTGAAAAAATAAAAAAAACCCTCAGTCCTGCTCCGCTTCTCTAGAACACCGGAGCTCATGCCGTTAATGATACATAGAGCTGAAAGAAGCAGAAAGCGGACGTGAGGCTGTCACAGGCAGCAGCCAGAGCCTCACTCTGTCTCCTGAAGCACAGTGACAGCCTCTGCAGCTCCCTCACTTTCCACACTTTGATCACAGCACAGAGAGGTGAAGCTAGTCAAGGTTAGGATCATTCTCTGCACACGGCACCGCATTCACTGAAGTACAACAGTCACGACATGTTCCAGAGATATTTTGGGTTGAACAACAGTTTAAAGAAAAAATAATTCTAATTAATGGTGTGAATTCATTAGCAAAAGTCAAATTACAGTCTGTTGAACAGTAATATCTGCTGACATGACCGACTTTAGCAAATACTTCTCTCGAAAACATTCCCAAAATACTTCTGAACATAAACTGACAGAGAGTTTGTGAGGACAAACATCATCTCATTCACAATAAATACTTTTTATTCTACGGAGTGCCTTGGTTTGGTGGCATTTCACTTTTTCTTTCTCTCTTTTTACTCTAACAATCACCACACTGAGTGTTGCTTAATGTAAAGCTGGTAGGAAAATGAAACCATGCAAGAAAAAGGAATGAATTTCTGCACACTGTCGGTGTTCAGTGTGCTACAAATGCAATTCGTGTGATCAAAGAAGTTTGTCAGGAGGCTGACATTTAGAATTATTAGTTTAGAATGAAACTCTAAATAGAAGCAAGATGCTGATTTCTCTCCAACTCAATGAAACTTCAACATAGAAGTTGAAAATGAAATGGCAACTTTGTCTTTTGTCATTTTCTTAGAAACAATGTATTTATAATTAAATAAATGATGCAGATATCTCTCCATTAGATCTGAACCATGATACTGTACATGCAAAAATATTTTAGAGTTTTACTTTGAAAGCACAGTACAAACTACAAGTTTTTATGCTGTTGACTTATGATGAATAAATGAAGTGATTATGTAAGCTACAGCTACTCTTGATATAAATCATGTCAAAGATTGATAATAACTGCTTACAGCAATAAATTTAATGTAATGAACTGCACACAGTAGGATGTATTAGCAGAACAAAAAATGCCAACTGTAACTCTTCATACATGTAGAACAAAATAATTAGCTTTTCTTACAATTTTCTTGGTGATATTCATTTGGACAATTGATTTTTGTAAAACTACAACGTAGTATGATCATTTTAGGATCACAGCAGGATTCTGTTATGAGTCAAGATGTGAAAATACAGTTTTTGCATTGTTCAATTTTATTTTCTTAGAAATGTGTCTTTTTGACCTCAGCCTTTGAATAACACAAACAAAGCTGTTATAAACCTTTCAGTATGAGTTATTTCAGTACTGCAACAACCTAATTTTTTTTAACTTAACTACACTAATTAAGATGGGCTGCAAGGTGGATCGGTGGTTAGCACCGTTGCCTCGCAGCAAGAAGGTTCCCGGACGCCCGGGATCTTTCTGTGTAGAGTTCGCATGTTCTCCTCATGTAGCGTGGGTTCTCTCCGGGTTCTCCAGCTTCCTCCCACAGTCCAAAAACATGTTGAGGTTAACTGGTGATTCTAAATTGTCCGTAGGTGTGAATGTGAGTGTGCTTGGTTGTCTGTCTCTAAGTGTAGCCCTGTGATAGACTGGTGACCTGTCCAGGGTGTCCCCTGCCTTCACCCTAAGTCAGCTGGGATAGACTCCAGCCCCCCCGCGACCCTAGTGAGGATTAAGCGGTGTATAGATAATGGATGGATGGACACTGATTAAGGCTGACTTTAAACTTTGAGGTCTCCAACATGATTTACATATATTTCATTAAACTGTGATATCCGTAGCGTGAACATCTCCTTTCAGACACACTGTGTAACTCTTCAGGAATGTGACGCTTCACTGGATGTTTATTTGGACGTGCTGGCTCAAGATTATGGCTGCATATCGATCATTCTTTCACGACAATTGTAAACTTTTCACTTCCTAGACACAATATTTTGTCAGCAGTGTTGCTGGTTGCGACACAGAGCTCCAGACTGACAGACAAGTCAGTGTCATTTATTGTTTCCTCTTGTTTCCTTAATGCAGAGCAAAGCTTTAAAACTCACTGAATCATTAACCGAATTCCCTGGAGAGTTGAGAATTCACAGAGACATGCCGAAGGTGATTTACGAATAATTAGCAAAGCATTAAAAATATCACAGCACGAAAAATCTCATTTGCAGGACGATCAGCTACACTTACAGGGAAAGCAGGGGCGCATTTGGGCCACATTCAAATGGAGAGTTGGGGATGGTTTAATTGGGAAGTTGGGGCCTGTTTGTGTTTGGCTGCTTGTGCTGCTCCTGGTTGCCTTATTTATGGATGAGCATCACAAAAAAACAAGCGTTTCTCTTGAGCCTGCTGCTAATATGAAGGCAAAGCTTTGAAGCACTCTGGAGCGAAGAGAGTTTCATATCCTGTGAATAATGCAACCTTCATCCATATCTGCTTTGTATTTAGCTTCAGAACTCTTCCGGCAAGCTCTGCCCCCGACCCTCACCGCCTTTTCTTTCTGTTGTCACACACACACATTCATATACACACTGAGGCCATAACTGATATCCGCACACAGTCATAACCGAGGAAAGAAGAAGAAAAAAAAAAAAAAACCCACACGCATGCACACACAGGTTTTATTGCACAAGGTCGTGCCCTAAGGGCTCAAAGTTTAACTGCCAGCATTTCAGCGTAAACACCTTGCTTCACCTTGGCAAAGGAAGTAGGAGGAGATTCCTCAGCACAAATACAACACAAGGGTTTCATAAATCTACTGCAAGGACGACAACCACCAGACACCACATTTATCTAAAATCTCTTTTGATGCAGGGAGGATGCAAAGCAAGACACACACACACACACACACACACAAAAAACAGACACTTCTTTTTTAATACTCAAGTCAAAACCAAGCTGGAAAATAAGCTCCTGAAATATTGCGGTGAGCTCATACAGTAGAAACTGTAGCTTTTTTGGAGGGATCAGGTCTTTAATTACAAAGTGGGATAAACTAGATTCAGTTTGTTTGGTCAGTTACTGATTCAGAGCAATAAAAAGTATTTGAAATTCGATGTTATACAACACAGCATGTAGTATTACTTGACATAAACTACAGTAATCTAAGACATTACACCCTGAAGACTAAACTTAGGAGTTAAAATTATTGGACACTTCCTGTTAAAAGGGAGGTTTTTTTCTTCCAACTTTGGCCTTGTGCTTGCTCAAAGGAAATTGTTGGATTTGTTGTTTTTTTTTAAAAATAATATCATAATATACGGTCTTGACCTAAATTATGTTGTGAATTGGCACTATCTGAATAGAACTGAATTGAACTAGACTATAAATAGCAGACAGATCCCTGAGACAAGAAGCAGCATGTTTCAATCATAATGCTCTCCTTCGGGCAGAAGGAAAACAGTCTTACAATGTGCATCACAACAAAACTGGTCAATTCGAGTGAAGTGATTTGACTGAACAACCTGATCTATAAACAGAAGAAGACATCTCACCTTGATGGCGTAGTTGACCAGTGGGTCCTTGGCATAAGATGCGGTGTAGTACACAGCGTCCCCCGCCTCACAGCACGGTTTCCCAGTGGTCAGCCTGAAGTGGGACCAGCTGTCAGTGCCGAACCTCAAATGATCCTTCTGGCCTGCCATGAAACGGTCCTCACACTTTGCTGCCAGCTTCCGCAGGGTGTCCGTGTGGAGCCCCCGGATCCTCCCCACCACCTCATCCCAGCTGTCTAAGCCCCTGTAAAGAGCAGGTCTCTGGGGTTTGGAGCCTCCTCCAGCTGCACCTCGACCTGTTGTCCGCCCTCTCCCTCCCAGAGACTCCGTACTGGGGTAGATTCTCCTCTCCCTGCCGGCGGTGGCACTGGATGCAGCGGGGGCAGGTTGGGGGACCAGAGAGGACACGCTGTTAGCCAGGCGGCCCTTGCTGTGAGCTGCGGCAGCTGTTGGCCTCTCCAAGGAGTCGCCGCTCTCCTGGTCGTGGGCTCGATGAGGCTCGGAGCTGAGGGAGGAGCTCTGACTGGCTGTCTCCCAGGTGGAGTCCAAGTCGTAGAGAGGGTTGGCCACACTCAGGTTGGTGCCTCCCGGTTTGGCCTCAGCCCGGGGTCTGAGGGCTCCCTGGATTGGCTCTTTGCCTCCCAGGCTTGGTTCAGTACTGGAGCGAGGAACAGCCTTCTTGGGGAGTGGCGGTGGCGTGGCTTTAGGCGCCGGCTGGTCAGCGAGGACATCCAGGTCGATGGAGGCTAAAGTATCATTGGACGCTTTGACGTTCCGTGGCTGTTTCAGTGGGATCATGTTGGCTCGAGATTGACCTGGAGGAGAGGAAAGATAAGAATCAAAGAAAATTCAGACTGGCAGACTGCACCATGTAAAACTGAATGGATTTAAAAACCAATTTAGGCTTCAATACCCTGAGGACAAAATTACATGATAATGTAGCTGCAGTTATGGTTACAAACCAAGGGAGTATGCTTTGCCTTCAAATAAACTCTTTAGTATTGCTATTGTATTAGACGTTCTAGTCCTACTCCATCACATTTCAGAGAAAAATGGAGCACTTTTTACTGCCCTACAATTATCTGACACTTAGAGTACAGTAACAAGCTACTTGTAGATTGAGATTTTACATGAAACTATGCTGCATTGCTAAAGATTAAACTACCACTGTAATTTAAGCTGTTTAAAATGCTCCTTACATGCATTAGTAAATGCATAAGAGCGGGGCTTCTATATTTATGGTAAACTGTACTGCCCTTCAGAAACATTTTAAATGCAGAACTTTTACATATAGTGTGATGTTTTCAAATTGTTGTGTTGCAACTTTTTCCTAAGTTAAATACCTGAATACATCTTCGACCCCAGACAGTTTAAGACCAGTTTAAAGAAGGAAAAATAAAAATATCTTAAGATGGTAAGTCTTTCTTTCAGTGCACAGATTTAGCTTTTATGTCTACGCTTTGATTCTTTTCAATTTGTTTTCTTGTTAGCAGAAAGTCTTTGACTGGCCAACAAGAATAATTGTTTTGGTACTTCATAGGTTCTTTTAGTGATTTTTACTATCAAGAGAGGCTCTAAGCGTTTGTGACAGTCGAAACTCCTGCAATGGTCTACAAAGAAAAGGATCTGTAAAGATAAAACATATGAAAGACTACTGATATCAAATGTGATGACACAGGATGTGACTTTCATGAAAAGCAGCTGGAATTCAAAGCTGACAAAATAGGTAAAATGACACTGAAATAACTCAAATAACTGCACACTCTTTCACCTATGGCTTCCCCAGAGCTGTTTGTTTTCTCTCACATGGCATTTCAAGTGGCCCGCTGGCTTGTTGCCTCTAATGAAGACGAGAGGCTGACGTGAGGTTGTGTGCCGTGGCACGTGAGGGAACTGCTGGCCCTGAGGAGAAGCCAGAGAGCAGGACAGCTGGGCACAAGTTGTTCCTGCAACCATCCAGCTGCCTTTCTCAATCTGCAGTTCTATTCTGCAGTGAGGCTTAAAGAGGCAGCATGGAGAGCAAATTTATCAGTGGCTTGACGTGACCTTATTTTTCCAAGATGCTGGTGGGACGGAATTGGAGGGTTGAGGGGTTGATTGGAGTCCCTCAACGTTCTCTGGAGTTGAGGACCACTGAGGCAGATGGGTCAAAGACAAGTGTCTGACAAAATGAAAAGAACAAAGGGGTTGTGCCATTTGCATGATGGGAATGAAACAGCCTGGTAGTTTTAACTAAGTGGGTGCACAAGGTCACAGACAACCCTACTGTGCAGCTTTAACTCACCAGGGAACACCCCAATTTCTTGGAAGATTATACTGAGAGCCTGCTGAGTGTTAGACGATGATGTCTTTCAAGTCACCTCTTCTGCCGAATTACTTTGCCAGTCCCTACGGTACAGGCATCTGCTTGAACAAACTGTTTCTCTTTGTACAGTACAAACGCTACTGATTACAAATTCTCGTTAAACTGTATGAATAACTCCCCACGTGTAAGTCACGCTGCCATCATCTTAAGAATGCAGTGGAAGCCTTAAGGCAGAGCAGTCAGGATAAAGTAAATGAGTCTTGGTAATCCTCCCTGGAATGAATATATTTAATGTGTTCCTCCGCCAATCTGCAATAATCCGTCCAAGAAAGCAAGCGTCTCCTTCGTCCAGTCGTGGGGATCTTCTGTTGCAGCAATGTGGCTGTGACTTAACTGAATTACATAAGACTAACTCAGTTTGTTGCATGCTGCGTCATTGATTAATCAAACAAACTATCAAAATATCAAAGATAGGGCAAAAAAAAACCATTACAAATTCTCTGAACCCACAACAACAAACTCAGGTGTCTTATTTTGTTTGACCACCAGTGCAAGGATCCGAAACAGACGAAAGCACGTCATATTTGAGTAGCAGAAACAAGCAAATGTTTTGATTATTTGCTCGCAAATGACTAAAATTAATAATCAGTTATCAAAATAGCTACTTTTACATCAGCAAATATTAACTATATAGTACAATTGTACCAATCTTAACAAACCTCTAATTCCTAGAATCGCAAGAGCAGCACAAATCTGTTAATTAAGCAGCCTTTTTACATAACTACACAAAAAAGCTGTTATCTTACTGTGAGTTTAACCTGCTGTCTTGTCTGTGCCTGGCAAAGCAACTAAACAAAACAGTGTCACAAAATGATAGTGTGACAGAAGCCTGGTATAAAACCTTGAATACTGATACTGATAGCTATGACTAGAAGGCTGTTTTTCAGTCATGTAAAACTCACAGTTGTTAACCTAAACTTCTTTTGAGGTGTGTTTACGTGTGAGAGATGAAGCGGGCCCTTCAAAAGCTGTTGGAGATTAAAAAACTAATTTTCTTCTGCAGAGCGTGATGTGTCTCAGATAGCTATTTTGTCACTGCTGTCAGTCCAAATCTAGGTGTGAACACAAATTGAGAGTCACAGTCTCTCTGCAACACATGATCAGATTATCATCAAAATCGATAATAAATAAATAAAAACAAACAATATCTGTGCACACGAAGTTACAGAGGTAGTTACAGTAAAATGATCTGTTAGACACATTCTTCAGCAGAGTTAGGATAAAGATTTTTAAACATTACTTTCTACATTGTTCTCAATCTTGATTTGTATCGAAAAATAACATATTAAAGCATTCTATTCAAAATTCTAGAGAACAGGATTCCCCAACATTTCTTTGTAAGGCGATGAGGGAACTTGTTGCCGTAGCGGAGTGATTTACTGCTCAGCCATTATGCTGCAACAAAACTAACTCTGACACTGCAACAAGAGGAAGCGATGGAGGGGGTGGGTAGAATAAAGAGGACCAAGGGGGGGAGGAATGAAGCGAGAGCAGCAGAGTGGGTGGCTAGAGGCGGTAAAAGTAGGGGAAGTGACAAGAGAAAGGAAAATACAAAGAGGTGATGGAATAAACAGAGATGCCGAGGAGACAGGTGGGGACAGGGGTGAATATTGACAGATAAGGAGGCGAAACAAGTAAAACAAGCCTACCTCAATTCCACTAATGCCTCAAAGTTTCTAGTTAAATGCGATGCAGCAGCTGTGCGAGGAGGCAGAGTGGAAAGCTGCGTCCATCCCTGGGAGTCTGTGAGGAGTCGCGAGTGCCAACAGGCAGGCTCAACGCTCCCACCAATACTGGAGATTTCTCACTGAGTGAGGCGGTGAGCGCTCTGCCTCCTACTGCCTGATGCTCTGATTAAAACACAAGTGCGTGTATACAGTTTGATAGCGAGTCAGAGGGAGAGAGAGAGAGGCATTTCTGTCTAAAAAGTGAACGGGATCCTTCACTAAAATGTGCGAACAGAGAATATACTGCAGCCAAAAGTGAAGAGCAGAAAAAAAAAGCAAATCAATTCCTTTTTCTCAAATCCTGACGAGTAGAAAAGGAGACATAGATGTAAGAACTTAAAATAGGCATTGCACTTTGTGGCTGTGTGACTTGAAGCAGCGGGTGTGTGTCTTGAAGGCCACAAACCCCCTCCCAAACAAAAATGACGTACTGCAACGTTACAGCAGACAAACACAAAAACACACGCTTGTATCTTGTCCCTCATTACCAGCATGCAGCAAGGAGAGCAAGAATTAGGCTGCAGGCAGCTCATAATGTGTCATCCTGGGAGCTTTTAAAACCATCACAATATATCTATCCACAGAGCAAGTGTGCAATCTGACTACACAAACACTGCAAGCCCTGTTTGCACCAACACTGTTAAAAAAAAAAAGAAAAAAAAAAGCCTAATTAGTGCAACAGTAACAGTGAGACACAAGCATTTAGCCACTGATGAATCATTTAACATGTTGAAAAAGATCCACACACCTTTTGAATATGACACATACACATGTGTAAACACACGGTGAAGCGCCTCGGCTGTGCATCTGTTCCGCAAACCCACACTCTCCTCCCCATCACTTTGTGTTTCTATTTCTTGTTCTCTCACACACCACTCGATCACTGAGAGATCCTTTCCCACACATAGAGAGCTTCATATTTTAAGTGCCCAGCAGTGTTTGACAGCTGTGCCTACCTCTCCCATCCTCCCCTTGATGCCGCGAAAGCCTGGTATTATGCGATCGCTGTTAGACCGTCGCCAAACCTGAATTAGTAAGCTGCTGACTGAGTCCAAAGATGAAATGACAATTGTCACAAGTCAAAGATAGGCTATGGAAAGAAGGACTGTCAGAGGGGAACTTCATCATCATGGAAATTAGAGGAACATAACACTCTTTGAAATCATGTCATGTCCATATAAATTATAACTGAATTTAAAACAAGTCGGTAGTGTCCTAGATTAATTTTGCCTGTTTGGGATAAAATGACATTAGATTATTGATGCTGAGCAGTTAAGGATTTGTTGTCTCCCAATTATTTGCTGATTTCATGTTTTCGCTGGTAAATAGGCCATCCTATAGCAAAAAGAACCATTACCTAGATACTTTAATTCCACTCTTTGACTTTAAATCATGTAACAAACACTGAGAAAGACATAACAAACCCAACAACATTTTTTTTCAGGTTTCTATCTATTTAGCCAATTAGTGTCTTGACTCCACTCACTGTATTCATTTACACTGGAGTGTCTTCTTTTATTTGCAACAGTATCTGTTTATATTTGCCAGAAAACACCTAGTACACCTCTGTACTACTGTACAAGACAGCGCAGAGCAGTCCCACGAAAATGAGTCAAAGCCCTGCAAGTCAATGATTCAGGTTGAGGAGGTGTTTTTTCCGCACAAACCTTTTCCACACTGAACTTCAAGACTGCTGTGTCAGACCAAACAATTAGGATAATTTGGAGAACAAAGAAAGCATATAATTAGGTTCAGATTATATAGGAGGGTAAAAGCTTTTATGACATTAATAGTACCGTGATCACTCATACAGCGTATGTTCTTGTGCTGTGGTGAGGCAGCCATGTAGTTAAGAGTGCACTTCTATTCCAAACTCTTCAATCATATCAAATAAGGCTTTCAAAATACAGGAAACAAATGCACTGAGACAGAAGAATAATGCGATTTAGAAAATGGAGATTATGTGAATGAAATCCAATAAAATCAGTCGAAGCACGGCCTTGAAACATGGACAGAATTAGTGTCACTCACGGAAACATTAACATTAGTGACACGATGTTGCACCTCTAGCTGAAATAATGTGCTTCAAGTTGTTCAAGATACCGCGCCACAGGCTGTGGGTGACAAGATGTGTTGAGATTTTGAGCTCCAGCTGTTTTAGCAGGGAATAAATTGTGACTTGTCAAATGAGGAGGTGTGCTGATGCAGGAGAAAAATAAAATCAGCCACTTACGAGTGAATGAACTGCACAAGCTGAAGAGTGACAGGTAGTGGCAATAAAAATCCACTGTTCTGTAAAGCTTACAACAATAATAAATAGAAGCCCCATACCAAACCATATCTTTATCTTGAAAAAAAAATCAATATTAAATACACAAAAAATATGCAAACAGGAGAAAAATACTATTTTCCACCCACACACTGTCAGGTTCAAACGTGTAGTTTTGTATTGATCTGATTTTGGTGCATGATCAGCAGCTTCTTTGTATTTTTGGTTTCTACATTTGGGAGCAATGCGACACAAAATCCAGGTGCAAATCAATTAGAGGATGCATTGGAAGGATTTGCTGTAACACAAAGCAGAAAATCCCTCCTGCACACATGAAACTTGCTAATTCGGACAACAAAAGCAACCACACTTGTCTACACAACACAGTAATTGAACTGAATTTCCCTTCTGGGATAAACAAAGTATTTTTCATTTCATTTCACTTCATTCAGTAAGCAGGGTTTTAAACTTTATGCCACCTGTCTATAGCACGAACACAAACCTACAAATAGACACGTTTTAGAGACTCTCTTCATCTTGCACGTGGCATTCTTACCCAGGTTGCTGTAGGTGGCACTGCACTGGCTGGAGGCAGGAGAGTGGGAGTGATGAGAGTGATTCCCGTCCTCCTCAGGCTCTCCAAGGCTGGCGCTGCCCTCGCTGGCTGAAGCTGGAGTGGCAACCTGGTTGGCATGGCCCTCCTCGCCCTCCCCAAATACCAGCCCTAGATTCACTTTGGCAGGCAGAGAGGTGGCACTGGGTAACTCCCGATCCCTGGCATTGCTGGCACTGACTGGTATCTGGCTGCACATGACAGAGAGAGAGGCATGGCTCATTTAGTTATGAAAATGTGGAAAACTCGCTCCGTTAACAGTCTCATTACATGTGGTTTTACTTCCTTTCTCCTCTCTGAGAATATTTCTCCAACTGCTTTGATTTGTTTATTGCTCGATTAACAACAAGGTTTCATTCTTCACAGAAATATCAGCAAAACAAGTCCCAGAAGAAGCTGGAAGATATGAAGGAGCTCTGTTTGCAAAGACAATAGAGTTGTAGGATGATAATTGAAGTGCTATTGATAAGGACTTGTCTGCCATCATTCATTTTGTCCATGACAGATAACACAACAGGATATGAACACACCACATACAACAATGTTCTTATCTGGTCAGTTGTTTCAATCTTTAAAATCAGCTTGTGCTTCACTGTATCAGCATACTTCATCTTTCTCAGCAAGTGATGAATAGGAGACAGCACAGCTGTAAGTGGGGGAGCTCTTGAAGTCTGCTGCGTTTTATATGCAACTACACATATGGTGCCTGAGGGAAGGTGAGAGAAAAAGACAAAGCAGGCCACAGCGGAGTGTGATAATATTTTCTGAAGAGCCCTGTGACTAGGTGGCTATGATTTAAGGTGTTTCAAGAGGTGAGATGTATTTCATCTAAATCTGCCACAGCAGACTGATGATAGGTGCGATGACAAGGTGGTAGACGTCAATGTGATTATTACCTTCATTATTTAGCTTTTTTTTCTATCTGGAAAAGGATGTATTAACTCATTAAAATACCCATTTTCTTCCCTAAAGAATAAGCTAATGAGTCGGGCAACCTGAAAAGAACAGAAGACAAACAAAAAAAAAAAGTTGATAGCCTTGTCTTGACAGGCATTGATACTGATAGAAACTGCCACCTCAGTAAGAGAATATATATCGTTTCTATTACGACTGGAGGCAACATCTTCATAATATACTGACAGTGGCCCAATTGAGTTGTGGGCGCCAGATATGTGGGTCATCTTACAGTTACTCATAGTGTGTTATCACTGCGAGAGCTCAGATTGTACAGAGTAACTCCAATCACAGTGTGAAAGCCCCAGGGAAGGTATGAAGAGACTTGTATGCTGCAGCTCGTTGCTGCCGGAGATGCAAGTTGCACAGGCAACCTGCCACATACTCTGTGTGTCTTCTTCAGGAAGTGACAGCAACACAATTTCCCCATGGGGCCCGAGAGCACCTCCATATCAGTACACTGTCTTTGCTGTCACGTCTGACAAGGCAAGAAACCACTTTGTATTTGACACTGGTCAGTCCATTTAATGTACATGTGCACAGGTGACGCAATGTAAAAAGCACATTTAAAGACAGAAATTAGCTTTGCTTTTATACACAAAAGATTATGCATGTAATAGCTTGCAGTATGATTGTTCGTCGATTGCTTGTAAGTTATAATGTTCATAATATATAACTAGCTGCTGTAATCCCAAAATTTACTTTGCTAAAGACACACATTTAAAGACTGATTCCTGAACAACTTTTTAATCTTTAATCATTTCCTTCATCGCAAAACAACTATCAAAATAAGTTTACAGAAAATGGGCCTAACTATAAAATTTTGTAAAAGATGTATCATAGTAGGAACAAGACAACACTAAGCATGTACTAACACTAACATAATTCTACACAGAATGGAAACTTACATATGAAAACCAGCTGAAGTAGGAAGTAATGAATGCCAGTACAAAAACACAAGGAGCCAAAGATTGTAAAAACATTTGTTCCACAGTGGATTTCTTTTAATTAAACGTAAGAAGACCAAAACTATTTTTAAACTCTTTTTTTAAATTTGTTTTATAGTCACCTGGATAACAGTGGCTCTCTGGTCTACACTGAATACCCCTCAAGCCCTCTAGAATCAGTCTACTCCAGAGTAAATAAGACACTCCTGGTTACTGACCCCTGATCTGATTACAGTTCAGTCAGTCTTTCAATTTGACCTGTCTGAGATATTACAGCCTTGGGCCACCTGGGTTTGGCCACCCAGGTGGGGTGATATTCTACACTACTGTGGATTTTAGCCCCCATTGTAATACACAAAATGCCTGCTACCTACACGTACAAGTAGATGGATCTGCCAGATGCTCTAAATTTAAGATACTGCTGTGGTGGCATATTGTTCACTATCCCTGGCACAGATATTCGAGCTTTAAATTTCTTTACATGGTATATTTAATGTCAAAAACAAAACAAAAAGGCAAAAGGTCACAAAAAGTTCAGAGTTAGTTTCATAGCCACAGGCATTGTCATGGGTGTGACCGACTGGCAATGTTTGTATTATTCCAAATCAGATGTGTCATTTCCTTTGACTGTAATGCTGCTACATATATTCCCAACATGACTAATGATTCATGTAATCATAAACGAAAGTCCCTAAAAGTACAGTTCAAGATACAGGCAGAGCTCGCAGAAAGCTTCGTCTAGTTTAATATACTGGAGTACACATTTTCTCACATCTAGTAGTACAATAAATTGAAATTCTTGTGTCACCAACTAGCTGGTCACATACTAACAACCAGTCATGAGGAGTGTAAAATCGAGTGCTAAAGCTTTCCTGTGTGCCCAGATTATTGCTATAAAGGATTATAAGTGCCATTTGAGGCACATATGTGTGGTATGAATAATAAATTAAGCTTAAAATTATCCATCACCACCCTTACATACACACCAATTTAAGTTTTTATTGCAATTTATTATAGGTGTGTGTCTAACAGAAGATGGTCAAGCAGTCCAGTCATTTGCTAAAATAAGTCAACGGATAATAATACTGAATCATATTCCACCAAATTAAAGGTGATGTTAGTTTTCCAATGGTTCTCATGTGCTGTGTTATGCTGCATGTATAACATTCTTTACAGTTGTCCAAATCCATTAGAAGTTAATCTAATTTCTGGTATTGTCTGGGATTACTGTTACATTTTGGAGACAAAGACACTGTTAATAAGCACACTGTTGCAATATTTTCTCTAAAAGGTGAAGGAAAAGTGAGCACTTGAGGAAAACACCTTGCTGCTCATGTGTCTGTCTGTAACCTGGGGCACTGTGTTGGAGGAAAACATCAGATCTGACGTGTTTATGATCTGTCTCTGTAGGCCATAAGCCCTCTGTGTCTCTTTTAAAGAGAGTCGATCAATAGCTTCTAAGTTGCCACAGTGCATTACTTTAGCACTTGCCGGCAGTAGACAGTTAGAATAAAAGGGCCATAACAATGTTGTGAGCCAACTAGAAAACAGAGTAAGTAAAGTGAATAGATGGAGGCATAAAAACTGAGTACGTTATAATTAAAAACAAAACAGCACACAGTACACTGTGTTGTAATAAAATCAAGCTTGGCATCGAAATCTGTTGCTGCTTGACCTGTACATGTCAACTCAATTTCCTCTTCTGTTCTTCCTTGTTTTTTTTTACTTTATACAACCAACTACACTTCTCAGAAGCAAACTGTAAACAATTTACAATCAGCCATAAAACTGCCCAAAAGACCATTAAATAACAATGAAGACAACCTCCACCATCTCATCCTGTATGAACAAAACAGCCAGTGTAGATATACACTTTGAGAGGCCCTTGACACAATAAATACCTTTATAGCCGCTACACGCTTCAATGTCAGGACCCGACTTGTTCAGACAGCATGAAGCTGCCTCAGTGCATTTCACTGTTTCTTAGACCTCTGCCGCAAGAAATGAATAATCTCTCATACAAAACACGAATCATTTAATCTCAAACCTCTCCTCCCTGCTAAGTCAACATGACTTCAAGTGACCTAGGGGGTCACACAAATGTATGAAAGAGCAGAATTTCAGTTCTTACCCGCTGTACTGGCTCACGCAGCTTCCCATCTGGAAACTTTGGATACAAGACGAAGGTAAAAATCACATTCTAGGTAGAGCAGTATTCAAATAGTGCAAGCTGGCCTGCTGTTAGGAATGAAGACGTTTTTCCTGCATGTCTTTCTTTCCTTGTCTTTTTTTGTTTCTCCCTCTTTGAATGTTCTTACCTGTCTAAGGTAATGAGTGTTTGCCAGAGCTGAAGAACACGCCCACTGTTGGCCAATAAAACTGCTTCCAGTCAGAAAAACCCCACAGAATTAACCCTTCATTTGCCAACCAAAACAGAAAGTTTGTAGAGTGACCTGTGGAACTGGTTCACAACATGGAAATCACTGACCGACTGGTCTGTTAATCCAGGAACAGCTCAGGATTTCAAGATGAAACATGTACGTCCCACGCCTTTGCTTTGTTCTAAAGGTATTTTGCTTTATATGGACATGCATTTCTCGATTAGTGCAAGCAAGTGGAACAAAAAATCAGCTTGAAGACAAATTGGAATCATCTTACTGTCTTGAATTTGTTAACTAATACATGTACATTTGAAACTGCTTGGCTTGTTCTTTAACAGTTTATAGATGCACTCATTTGAAGAAAACACAAAAAAATAAGCAAATGAATAAATAATCAACTGTTTTACTATTGGAGGAAGCAAAACCTAATAGCTGCTTCTCTATCTCTTTAACAGCTGTTACTAAAACACCGTGAGGCATGTTTTCACATTCCAGCACATTCCTCCTGTAGACTTTAATTTTGTCATATTTTTCTCTCACTCCACCAAAGGAAGCTCTGGCACGAAGAACATGTTTAGCTATTTTCTGTTTCTGTTTAAACTCAAAACCATGTCTTAATACCTGAGCTAAACATCAAACAAGACAGTACAGCAACAGAATCACCTACTACAAAGACACTAAGTGAATAAGTTAGCTGCTAACTGATATGTTTCCAGTGAATGCCGTGAATAGCAGGGTCCCAGAAGAATGGTTGTAAAAGCAGGATGAAAGAAAGTGTGGTAGACTGGACCAAAGGTGAGATGCTTTTGAAAGAGTTTAGTGTTGGCTAACTTGTTAGCTAACAATGTTAGCAAATGGAAGAAGGTTTCTCTGCAAATATGAAGGGCTCATTCTTCGGCAACAAAAACAAAACAGAAGTTACAGTTGATTAAATAAAGTATATCAGTACATATAATATTTTATTTCTGCGAATAGATCCCCCTAAATCCTACATATTGGCCCTTCAATTACTGATTTGGGGAATCATTGTTAGAAATACAACAAAACTTGAGTTATTTTCACAGTTAAATGTAAGTATGTAAATGACGCAGTATGAAGAGTACAGCATCACCTCCACAGAATAATCTTACAGCCTCCATTGGAAAGTCCTCTACTCAAAAATGCAAGTTTAGTTTCAGGGACTCATTGGAGAAAAAAACCAAAAAACTTTTGGGTTGCATGTACTCCAATACATACAGCACACTTAAATACATCCCATTTTAGTACAGCATTAGCTAGATATCTGATATTACCAGCAAAACGACCGTACACGTAACTCCTGTACCACTCGTTATAAAGTGAGAAAGAAGACAGGAACTTCTGGAAGAAAGAAACGATGACTGGAGCTGAGGCTCGAGGAGGACAGAAAAAGCAGGGAAGTTAGAAAAGAGACAGAATGGGGCCGAGCTCTTGACAGGATGGAGGAGTAAAATATTTAAGAGTTCACAGTGCTTTGGGCTCAAAGGAGAAAAATCTAGAAGGAAAGCATGGAAGAGGAGTGCAAAATTACATGAAACAGAGAAAGGGATGATGGGAAGTCAAGCATGAACCTTGAAAGTGATCCAAAATGTATGGAAAATATTCGGGTGGCAGAGAAATAAAGCGAGAAGAAGAAACATGAGTGAAGCGTAAAGAGGAGGTCAAGATCTGAGAGATCAGGTGAGAAGACTAACAAGTTGTGCAAGTGCGGTTTCGCTACTTTTAATTATGTGGATAACCATGGGTGGACGACTAGATCCAATAATCAGCATTTTTCTAATTGTTGAGTCAGTATTTTTGTTAACTAATTCCCAATAAATAAATGTAAAAATGTGCTAGTTTGGCCCTGATGTAGCCTCTTCTCTCTGGTCGCTCTGTAATCTTGAGCAACATCCCGCCTGCAGGAAGCACATCATGAGTAAAGATAAATGCTGAAAAGTTTGCTTGAAATATTTTTCATTTTTACTACAAATATGTTCACCTTGATGACTAATAATCAATATTAGCATTTGCCCTTAAAACAACCATATGGGTTGACCCCTAATGTGCATCACCAAACTAAATAATCAGAATATGCCGCAAAGAGATCAGTAAGGAAATACTGAAATATTGCAAAGTGTATTCAACTAAGGTAAAAACATTCAAATGCAGCTGCGTCTTATCACAAAAAAACATGTTTGTTGACTAGCAACAATCTTTACAAAACCATACATTTGCTTTTAACTGGGTGGGGAATTCACATTTTCTAAAATGACAAAAACGGTGAGAATATAACAGGTTTTATATAGACTTGACTTTGTTTAACAAGCTGATTATGTCAGGTTCAACGAAATGAAGTGATTCATTATGAAATGACTGATGGACTTAGGGTGGGGTGACAGCTAATCTCCTAAACTTACAAGTTTTAAAGGTTGATTCATGAAATAATTATTGGTAAAACCTTGGTGGATCTTAAGTACAAAGGTATTTTGTCATTGTCAGCAAACGCTAAGATTAAACACACTGTGGTGCAGCAATAACACAAGACGTACTGGTTTTGGTATGAAACCTGCTGTCTACGTTTTTAATACCTCACATCATTAACAGTGCTTTCAGTATACAGCTTTCTTGATGAATCATTTTTTGTTTGGTTACTGCAGCATCCATTTGACTGATCATCAATGCAGCAACTGTTTAAAAACAAAAAACAAACAAACAAAAAAACAATACTTTGTTTCAAGCCAAATGCTTAAACAAGCTTATGATTCAGAGAAGAAAATACAGTGTCTCTTTCACCATCTGGGCTATCCTTATCTAGCACTATTAGTCACATCACAGGAGACTTACTTAGGGCAATGGCAGGTAAGAGACAAATAATGAAATTATTATACAAGAGCATCACAACCACACTGGCAAGACTGAGGAGTGGTAGTCAGTGTATGTGTATGTGAGTAAAGTTTTAATGCAACTTATGTAGCCACAGGGAATATGCCATCTGAAGAAGTGTTTAATGGAGTAGTGGCTGATCAAACTGTTGTTGGATGACTTTTAACAAACTGAGGTTCACTCCTGAAGGGAGACCCAGTGAGCACAGAGCATGCTGTTCAGGTAATAGAGTATATTACGGAGGAGACCACATAGGCTGTACAATTCATGTAGTCGACTGGGCAAGTAGGCAGGCAGACATGCCAAATTAAGATCAAACACCTCTAGAATCTGTGATGAGAGATCTGTGTGACAGGGGCAGAAGCAACCCTGACACTTTGGAGCAGCAGCTGGCAAAGGTTGAGTATCTTCATCTTAGGCTGTATCCAATTACACTAAAAGGAATGCATGTGGGCAACGGTAATGTGGGCATTGCATGCAAAATGATTCATTAGACTACCAAGAGGTGATGTAGGCAGAACATGTGTGAAATAAGTTGGTAGATTACTAATAGTTTCATGCTGAGCCTTGATGACTGCTTATAAAGTACTTAGTTCTGCTAAACAACATTTATCTTGAAGCAGTTTACAGTATCATACACTCCATCAAAGCCCAGTTAAACTGTCGATGGGTTGAAATGTTTGCTTTCTGCTAGAACCACTTTCCCTCTAAGGTTGTTTGTTAATGGAGCTTCCATAGCAGTATTAAGTGAACTTTGTCTGAGGGCCACAATCCCGCAGGGCTGATGTCTACTTATTGTATATCTAGCAAATGATAAAATGACTTTTTCAATGCTCTTTACACATCAGAAGCTACATAAAGCCATATCCACGGTGGATATGTAGCTTCTATCTTATGCAGTATGATTTCAATTGAGCACCTTAATGTATTTTTTTCCTGGAAAAGAAATCTCAGTAATTAGACCAAACTGTCATGGAAAACTCTCAAAACACTTTTTTTTTTTTTTTTTTTTTACAATTTTCAATTGCATATACCACTGTTTTTGAGGCATCTTAATTGACTGATGCACTGTATGGAAAATAGCATTGATTAAAATAGTAAATAAAACCTTATAAATATTGGACAAATACCTGCTGATGCCATCACCTCCAGCAGTGAGTGATGACGGTGTTTTCTCTGGACTCAAAGGTCGAGGTTCTTTGCTTTCATCAGATGTCAGCAGTGCAGTTTCTCTGCACTCCTCTACTCGTAGTTCTCCTTCTCCATCGCCAGGGCTACTGCCACTGTCTGGCTTGTAGGTAAAGATAATAGTTGGCTTCTGGGTGGGATCCTCTGGTTTGGCCTCAGTGAACCAGTGTTGTTGCTGAGCTGGCGGTGGTGGAAGCATGTGAATGACTGTTCCATCAAGTCCAACCAACTTGCCCTTCTCCTTTTCTCTCTCCATCTTCTCTCTCTGCTCATCCTCATCTTTCCGCCGACGAAAAAAGCTCTTAAAGGAGATCCAGCGTTTAGGTTTGGAGCCTTCTGCTGAAATACGTCTCCCTTGTCCACCAGGACTTACTTCACCTTCGCTGGGTCGTACAGGAGAACTCGAGGCAGAACTCTTGGTCCAATTGCCAAAATGTCTCTGGAGTATGTTAGATGCATGGTAGGGGGAAGATGTAGATCTTGGAGGGGGAAAGGGGGCACTGGGTTCTGACCGGGGGCTGGAGAGTGGGACAGCAGCAGAGGCACTCTGGGATTTAGACAAAACTTTTGAGGGTGTCTCCTTCTTTGGCTTGGAAAGACAGCCATCAGTTGCGGAAAAGAGAGACTTAGGCCGAGTGAGGGTCTCTTTCATGGCATCAGGTGGGAGGGCATACAGCTCCTCAGAACTAAAAGTTTTGGCTTGTGCTGAGGGTGACTCGGGAGGAGACAGAGGAGGGTGGATGGAGGCCACAATCTGTGAAAGCACGGCACTGGCCTCCTCCCTATGGCTTACCACTGTCCCAGAAGACAAAGCTAAGTCTGTATCATCATCTTTGCTGCAAGTAGCATCTCCACCAGTCTTGCAAGTGTGTGTAACAGCATTGGCAGTAGGGCTGGCTTTAGGTAGGTTTGCAGTAATGGCAAGATTTGCAGGGGGATTTGTTGATGTAGTGGGAGAGAGAGGCCCAACTGCAGAGCTGATCACAGTGCTTGTAACAGTGCTAGAGTCTGTAGTGGTTCTGGGTTGTAAATTTGGTGCTTTTGAAACCGTGTCAAGTGGAAATTTTGTCTCTTCAAAGGAAGTTCGCTCTGATGTGCCTCTACCTGAAAGAGTTTTTTCTGTTGAGGAGGACTGGACACTCTCGGAGGATCCAATCTCTTCATAAGTATGGCTGGCTACCCTATTACCCACCCCTTTTGTTTGTGGTAGTTCCCCACTGAGTCCCAAAAAGCTCTTGTATACAGCTAGGTTGTCATATGCACTTGGGTTGATAACAATAGGTACCTTGACAGCATTCTTGGAGCTGCGGGCATAGGCTGGCTCATCTCGAATAATAATGGGAAAAGGAGGCATACCTGCATTATTGAAACTGTTGAACTTGATCTCTGATAAATTGGGGGATTTCACAGGTACAGTTCGGGAGGAAGACAACCCAGCAATGGGAGAAGTGGGAGCTGACTTGTGACTGCACTGCAGAGAAGTGATGGAGGGGCCAGGACTGCTCCCAGCGCCAAGCTCCACTTTAGCTATCTTTTGGCGAGGACTTGTGCTTGATGTCCACACTTCTTGGTAGCGTATGCTGCCTGGTTTCTTCCGGGAACTACCTGGCAAAACAGCAGATGTGGGTGACGTTGGCATCACAGGAGAAGATGGGGAAGTAGGGGATTTCGGTGATAGGGGCTGGACTAAAGGAGTGCTACAGAATGCCGTAGGGCTGGAGGGCATTGACAGGTTCCTGGGTTTTGGAGAAGAGTCTGGAACCTGTTCATCTTTATTGGCCATGGATGCTGACACATCCACCACAGTGTAAGGCTTACAGATCATCGATTTTTCCAAATTTACTACACGGTATGGTTTGGCTTGCTCCTCTGTGGGACTAAAACTTATAGTGACTGGTTGACCAGGAAGGGCTTGAGGCATGGGCATGCCTTCTCGGCCATCCTGATCTTCTAATCTAATGGCCAGGACAGCCTTGTGTGTTTCAGCCACCTTAAGTGGACTCAGTGCTCTGCTGACAGGTTCCTTTGTGCAGGGAGGAGGTGCCTTACAAGAAGTGGGAGAATGCAGGCCATTTCGAAGGGCATAGTGGGCACTGCTCCCACTGCTGGAAGTTGTTCGAGAATCTTCTGGTAGTGACGACGATGATTCTGGAGAAGTGGTCGACTCTGAATTTGACAGGAAACCGCTACCTTGCATATCACGTGGCCCATAGGAAAGAGGGGCTCCATTGGAATCCACCGAGGGGTATCCATTCAAGATTTCATCATAGCTATCATCATAGTCCACTGCACAAATCCGCTGCAGTGAGCGGTTGCGAAGTGGCACAGTATTCCACTTTTTCCCTGCAGCAAAGGGCACTGGAGACAATGTGGCAGCACGGAAATTTGCAAATCGGGGTTGGCCTCGCATACGGATCTCCATGGCTAGCAACTCTTCATCACTTTCATCCCAGCTCTCATGTTCATCATCATCCCTTTCAGTGTCTTCTTCCTCATCATCCTCTTCGTCATCATCTTCACCTTCACTGGAAAACTCTGGGTAGCAAAAGCGACCACCCTCGGTGCTGATGATCTTGGCGCTATCACTAAGGGATACTCGTTTCTGAGCACTGCTGCTTCCGCCACCACCACCACCACCACCACCACCACCACTACTGCTGCTGCAGCTTCCTATAGCCAGACAGCTTGATGCTGGTAAGCCTCTTTCTAAGGATCGCCGGTATGAACTACTGATTCGTCCCCAGAATAAGTCCTTGGAGCCACAAAGGGGTGTGGGGCTAGAGCCAGGGCCCAAACCAGCAATCTCCTTAAGGACATCTGTCAATCCACTGTTGTTGTTATTTCCACTAGGTGTCCTTGGGCTAAATTGTCCATAACCCTCAATCTCCTCACTGCCACCCTCTCCTTCATTGTTGTTGCTTGGCCCTCCTGGCCTCTTACGATTTAGTCCATTGCGATTCCAGACTGTGAAGGCAGATGTTTTGCCCTGTTCTATTACATTTGGTGGTTGCTGCAGGTTTCCATCTAAATCCAGTCCTGCAGAAGAGCAAGGCAGCATCATAGTGGGCTTAACGGCAATGGTCGGCTTCTTTGCCACTGGTGGACGGAAGTGTCCTGAGCGAGCAGACCCACTGCCAGCCCTTTGGGAGTTAGTGGGAAGGTTGGGGTTGCCTCTGGCTCCAGCAGGGGGTGGATTCTGCTGCTGAGTTGTTGGAGGCCTCTGCTCAGAGGGAGGCTTCCCTCCACCGCTCTGAGACAGACAGTGCAGACTCTTAGGTTTAAAGCAGTTCTTGCACTCGCCTGGTTTCCACACGTGCTCAGTGAAGGTGCTGCAGGCTGACATGGCTGCTGGTCCTATAAGGCAGCCTGTTCAGTCAGTGGACAGGAAACCCCTCCATGAAGTTACAGGCTACAGGAAGTGACTGTAGAACAACAGTGATGAACACTATTCACACCTTAAATGTGGAGGACACTGGATCTGTAAGACAAAACAGAAAAGACAATCACGCATTAAACAAATGTAAGAATTTGTAGTTTATTTAATTTAAATATTAATTCAATTTCTATGCCACAAATAATTTACCTAAACACACTGCACATAGCTGAAACTTTGATTACCAAATCATATCCAATGCAGAACAAAAATCTTAACCCAATACAGGAAAATTAGATACCACCATAATAATACACTTGTTAGACACACAGCTGAACTCAAGGAAAGTGGTAGAACTGCGGTAGAAAGAGAAATGTGGAAAAACAATCTGTGGTTGAGAGAATGGATTTAGGAGGCAGTGCTACATTGTCTCCATTAGGTGGCAAACTTTCTCTATGCAGAAGCCAATCCATACTATGGGTCAGTGATCTGTCTCCTAACCCCAAAACAGACCTTTAACACTTGAAAAGCACAGGGGCTGAAGGGAAGAGGATTAAGAGAGCTTATTTTTGAATTGTTGTCCTGTGTTGTCGTTGCTGGCTGTTTCAGTCGGGCGTACATGAAATAAAGTTACTGATAGTGCTACTGAATCAAAAACTCAAAGTCCAAAATCCTGTCAATTCCAGCAGCTACATGGAAAATGGAAATTAAAAGTGTTCCAGCTGAGTTCATATGCACAAATGTCTGACAAACAGCACTGATGTGGAGTTTTGCAGATTTTAAGTTCCACAAATCTCTGTTTAAAAGAAATCAAGTATTGCAAAAAATAAAAAAAAAGTTTAAAAAAAACAATGCACCACATATCAAATATAATGACAATTTAATTTAAAGTTTTTGTAAAACTATTTGACTGCCTTAAGAGTGGGACAAATATAATCAATTAAAAGGTGCCCCCCAAAAAATCAGCCCACAAATAAAGGAATTACAGTTAAAACTTCACACAATTCAATCAGTAAGATAACAAAGGCTGACATTTTAAAACCTGGACACAAGAATGGTTTTAGGTTATCAGCACCAGTGCATACATATCAGGCACATCCTGTTTCCCTCAGCCAACCAGGTCATACTTAAATACTTGTAAAATTACACGGTGCAACAGAACACCATGTTACATCCATTCCAGTCAGTACACAGACCAGATCCCAGTTATTTGCAAAATATATTCAAAGAAGGGAAAGATGGGATTAAACATCTTTGTGGAACACTTGTTAAATTAGTTTAAGCCCCCCCTTCAATACAAATCATGAATCTAATGGAGGCGGAAAGACAAAGGAAAACCCATTAGCATTTAAATTTGCTTTATCCCGATTGACCATCCACATTTCTCATAACCAATTATAACAAGCTCTCAGATACCACATTAACATCAAATCCATGGATAATAAGGAGTGTGTTGCTGAAATAACCAATTAAAATCAAGCTGTTACATGAATCCCTGTTTAATATCACGCAGGAATCGGTATGTTACATAACCTGACACAGTTTTCACATTATTTTTACATCTAGCCTGCTCTGGACAGGTCCCCTCAAGGACAGAAGATATGACGTTATGGATGAAACATAAAATATTAAAAACTTTGTGGATAGGAAGAAATTAGGTCAGAATGAAATGCAAATAATAAGGCAATGAAAGGCACATTAGTAGCTACAGCTTTATATAAGAAATTAGTTCCTTTGAACCTGCTCCCTTTGCCTCAAAGTATATAAAGTTTGCAGCACAGATGAGTTCACTATGAAGGTCTAATAAGATGAACACAATGTTTTTTTCAGTTCACTTCAAAAATGTATTCCACTGTCAGCCAAGGAACTCGTGCAAAACACTGGGTGATGACAAAAACCTGATTTAAACCATGAATACAGGTAGGGCTCTGGACTGTGTAAATACAAGGTTTGTAGATAAAAAAAATGTTCCTTTAGTCATTCACTGTTCCTACTGAAGCTTCACCACACCCATCCTCTCCTGACCAGCTTATTGGAATCAACTTGGAAATATCTACAGAATATAAAATAAATACGGGGGTTGTACAAGAGGCTGCTTATTGTCCCAACCAAAAGAAGAAAAAAAGCATAGCTTTCATCTATAATAAAAACTAATGGGCAATGTGCTGCAGGCCTGCATCTGCTCTGGACTATGCTCTTGGACGATATCAGAAATTTGCCTTTCCTCCATGGAGACCAATCAATAGTTTGGAATTTTCTACCTCAGCCAACACAACCATATTCTTTGCTCAAGCAATATTTTATCTATTAGCTGGGGTTTGTCAGCTCATTTAGTTCAACATGTAAAGGCTGCCACAAGATTATTGTACAATATTTGGCTTCAATACACCATTGAGTATAGTGTGCGTCTGAGGGAAATAGCCCATACAGACAGTCAGATAGTGTGAGATATTGCTGACTGGGAAGCAAACTCTACAAAATTGTTTGGCTTTGCATGAATAAAAATAACCAAAGTTTAGCATACAACAAGTGTAGTATAATGTAAATATATGTTTATATTTTGGCCTTTCATCTGATCATTGTGTGCTTTGAACAGCTGGCTGACTGATTACTGACCTGGCCGATTATGGTATCCTAAACCACGCATTTTTCCGATTATTATTTTTTAAACCAATTCCAGATAAAATAAAGTTAACTTCAAAATGTGCTACTTTGGCTCTGACACAGCCACATCTCTCTCTCTCTCTCTCTCTCTAATTTTTTTTAAATTTTTTTTTACTGCAAATCGGTTCCTCATATCAGTTATATGTCTCCTTGACTACTATTAATTGATATTGGTACCGGCCCTGAAAAAAATGTATCGTTCGACCTCTAATTTGAAGCAAATCTATATTTCATCAAAAAAAGCTGGGGTGTGACTCATTGTAGGGCTGATATCATCGGGGACGGGTGAATCAGTCTTGGAGTCATGGATGTCAAATCCTGCACAGAAGGATGTTACCATGACAACGCCCAGGGCCAGACACAATAAAGCAGGAACTCCTGAATCAAACTTTGCTCACCGAGTCGCAATGGGCGGGAGAAGATTTATCCTGTTACACCACACAGGCTGGACCTCACAGGAAACGCAGACTGTAATTCAAACAATATTTTTCAAAACCTGTCAGCACTGTGACACGTAAGCACTGTGTATTTCTGTGGCAGACTTTCAAAATTGCATGCACAACCGAAAGAACGGCCCAAGAGAAGTCCAGTGTGTTCCTGTGAAATGTCCGCAACAGTATTTACAACGACAGCATCCAGACTCCTAAATTCCTCAATATGCAACAGAAAAAAGTTAAAAATGTGTGTCTGCACATGTACTTTTCAAAGCTTGACAGCAGAGAAAGGCATAACAAAGTAATGTTAACATTGATACCTAAATAACTTTTTGCACATTGAGAAAAAGCCGAATTTTAAATTTTTTTTGATGAGATCTGCACCAGGCAGACTTTCTTTGTAACTACAAAAATTCTTCCTTGACAGACAGCAGATGAGGAGGCAGAGGGAACAGTTTTCTTTGGGAATCAAGAAAAAAGCCTTCTTATTGTGTTTACAGTCTTCAAAGCAGCTAGATGGATTTATAAAAAGCAACTCCCAGAGCACATTCTACTCAGATAATTCAGCTTTTCAAGCATTCGTGTTTCTGATCACGCGTCTGAGAATCAGGAAATATCCAATATTCAGTATGTGCCACATACATTATGCCACTAGCAGAACTCTCCAGTGGTGGATGTGACTACATATTTTACTTTTCTCGCCCTCCTCATTAAAATTCTGTTGTTTGATTTCATTTTCCAATCCTTCCGCAGTTGGGACTGATGTGACGCTGCATACCAGTAAACAAAACTCAGTTATATTTTAGATTCTCACTAAGCCGAAAGCAAAAATTAGTGCCATGTTGCAACTGACAAGAAACCATACCATCTAATCTTGGATGACAGCTATAACTTGGGGACACTAGCAATCTCATCTGCCCAACAATCCTTTCATAAACCATGCCATCCAGTATTTTTAGTTCACACAGCTCACAGTGCTGGCCACATCATTAAAATATGATAAATCTTCTCCACAGAAAGAGTGGGGAAAACCTCTGAGATACAAGCAATCCCTCTTCCTTATGTAATCATCTTGGTTTCAACATGAAAATGATTCTATCTGCGGTTATGCCTTTTGCAGTATAAGTGTTCCTACTCATGGCCATCAGCCAAATAATACACTGCTATTTTTGTGTTTCTTTTGTTATGTAACAGATATTATGCAATCCAATTGAGATGTGATGAATTACAATACAATAAAATTGTTTCGATACAAACCCTCATGAATACTAAACACTGTCAGTGCAAGGGTAGGGATTCTTTGTTTGGATTCTTCCATGATATTGACATTGTTTTATTGATCCAGTTTTTGCTTCTGTCCACAGTCTGCAACATCTTTGATGTTGATTAGAGAGATATGAAGTGGCACTAACACGACAGCCACCGCCAAATATTGGACAACGGGGTACAGCCGTACATATTTTCTCTCTTCCTTTGGATCGCTGCTGCCTTTCTCCTGCTTTCTCTGACTTCAGTGTCAAAAAGTATTAAAAGCTATTAAATGGGAGTAACAACCTTTGACACTAAACACATAAGTTGATTTTATATTGAATATTATTTATTGAAGGTACCCAAATGCACACAAAACATGCAGTGCATAATTTGTCTACATTCTTATTGCGGTCTGCTTAGTTATTCTCCTCCGTCTTGTTTTTGTTTATTACTGACTTGCCTTTCATGCATATTTGATGAGGCCAAAACATTAGTGTCGACGGCTTAAATGGATCCCTTATGTATAAAGACTGATGACTGTCTGAGATAAAGGAATGATGGTTCTCCATTACAGATATAATTGTGTTTTGGAAATTTTGATTTATTTGTTTTCAGAAAGACAAAAAGTACCCGATCAAAATGAACTAAAGATCTCTAGATCCTTAACAAATGCCCAGATTTATCTTCAGTGTGCCTGAGAACAGGGACAGGGGTTAGTGCTTCCTATCTGTATGTTTAAAAATCATGTTACAGTCT